GGGTTGCAGGTATAGCAGCATAGTGTAGAACCAACAGATGATCGATCATCTGTATAGCAGACTACTTAAATTAGATAATAACTAAAGTTGTATATATGGCTTGTTATACACTCATCATATAACTGTAAATCTTAGGAAACTGTTCATATAATAGTTCCATAATAACAAACTAATAAAATCTAATCAGCCAAGGAAGTGGTCTTAATAATAAAAAAAAAAAAAAAAAAAAAAAAAAAAAAAAAGAGTAATTTGTAGTTATTATTATTTTATTCATTTAGTAACTATATTCATAACTTCATAACTTTATTTGTCTCTTTTAGAAAGGTGAAAAAAACCTATATTTATACAATTTAGTTCACGAAAGCTTATACTAAGTAAATTCTAAATAGTTGAGTTGCTCATATCTTTATGAGCAGTTGTTTACTCCTTCGTGAGCAGTTGTTTCATTTACATTTAAGCTATTCTAAGATAACACGAAGCCACACTGCTCATATTATTATATAATCTTATTCAATTAAGGCTTATTGGATATATGCTTTAGCTCCACTGCTCACCCTAATGTTTACATAGATTATTATTACAATTTCTAAACGTAAATAAAGGTATGAGCAGTCTAATATATAAAGTGTAATAATAAAAAGACTAAATAATAATAAAAATAAAAAGATAATAAATAAACAAATAATAAAAGAAAAGAAAAAGAAATAATTTAGCAAAAAACCTATGACTTATAACAATACACTAATTTATATTTTAACAGTACCAATACATGGTGTAGTTAATCTTTATAGTATAATGAATAGGCTGTGATTAATATTAGATGCAATTTTTAGATCATTTGAATAGAGATTTACAGAACATCAAAAATGTAACTTCTACATATGATATACTCTTTAATGATCAGCAATAATTGTGGAATTGCCGATTTACAATGTAGAATTGTGGAATTACTAAAATTATCAGCAATTATCAATTCCACAATTCCACACTGGTGAAACTGTGGAAATTACGTCATTTCTACAATTCTACAAGTGTGGAATTAGTGTGGAATTGTGGAATTACTAAAATTATTCATGATCATCAATTCTACAATTGTAGAATTAATTCTCCTGCATCACTAGTCATGCGTACCAACAGTTCTAGACAGATACCGCATATAAACACTCATTGTATTCGTTTCTGGAATACTGGTTTACTACGTATACATTCACCCGTAACTGATATTTTATAGTTATTGTATAGGGTTTCAAAAATATGCATGCGAGTAGGGGCCTGCAAATTATCTATTTTTGTGGTCCGGCCCGGCCCATACTTAGTTTTAAAATTTTTTTGTCAGCCCGGCCCGGCCCGCACTTAGTTTTAAAATTTTTTTTGCCGGCCCGGCCCGGCCCGCATATATATAAATTTTTCTTCAGGCTGGCTTAACCCAGCCTAGCGCGCAAAATTTATTATAAATTTTTAAAAATTTTTAGGCCCGCATTGGCCCGCAGTTGTAAAATTTTGTTTCAGGCCCGGCCCGGGCTGCGGGACCCAATGCAGGCCTCTACCGTATATAATTTTATTATATTTTATTTTTTTTTTTAATTAAATTCTTTTTTTTTATTGTACGCAAACAAATGTTGAAAATAAAATGGTTGAAAATTTTATATTATACAAAAATTTAGATATCTTGATGTGCAATAATTGCATAGTAGCTACATAGTAACTACTTAGCTACTATGCAGTTACTGCGCAATAAGATATCAAGATTTCTGTACATTTCTTTATTATATCTAATACCAACAAAAAAAAATACAGGAAACCAAATATTCTGTCATAATTAAATTATTAGCTACAATTAAATCAAAAAATAAGTTATCTTAACAATATATTATTCTAAAATAAAAATAAATATATATTCTATAAAGTCTTTTTAAATTTATATAGCTACTAATTATATTTTATGAACTTTAAATAACTATGAATCGTCTGGCGAAGATTAATGGTTTTTATTATTCTTCGTTTGTTTCGGTTTCTTCGCTTTTTTCGGTTTCTTTTGTGATGAGTGGTCTGGTGAAGACTTATCTTTTGATGAATTATCTTGTGAAGACTTATCTTGTGATGAGTTGTCTGGCGAAGACTTATCTTGTGATGAATTGTCTGGCGAAGTCTCATCTTGTGATGAATTGTCTGGCGAAGGCTCATCTTGTGATGAGTTGTCTGGCGAAGACTGAGATGAGGTATCGTTTGATGGTCCATTATTTGGTGGTGGTGGTCCATTATCTTGTGGTGATCCACTATCATGTGTTGAGTCATCCGAAATTGGATTATCTGGAGGTTTTTCATTATCATATTTATTACAAAATTCAGAAATTTGTCTAGGCATTTTAGGAAGTTGATTTTTTATAAATATATCTGGAGATTCTATAAGTTGAGCGACCATTCCCATTTCAACGTGCCATTCAATGTGACAATGGAAAGCCCAAATTCCTGGATTGCATGCGATATACCTAATTACAGTATAACTATATTATATATGTTTATAGATTATGTGTATAAAAAGTTGAAATTAGTGCATTTTATTTAAACAGGTATATAATTGCTGAAAATAAGAAAAATTCTATACCTTTGTGGTTTAACAGTTACAATATCACGCAAAGGAGGATCAACAAGATTATATTCTAAACTTCCTAGAGACTTGTTAAAAGAACCAGCTTCGCCCTGACAAATAACCCAGAAGTTATGTCCATGCTATTTTATAAATAAATAATAAATAAATAAAAATTTTGAATAATTAATAAGATGTTTGCTACAAAGTCGTATAGAGTGTAATCATAGCTTACCAAATGGAAAGGATGAGTTCTCCTTTCCAAATTCCTTATAATAAGATCAACTACTGCACAATGAGGAAAATCATATCCATATGCATTATCAGAACGAAAGAATTTACTAGGATCTATTCCATTTTTAAGTTTCATGATAGTTGGTTCCTTGAAATCTGGGACATACGATGACCCATTAACTGTCGCTTCTAGCACGTCAGATGGTTGTACAAAACCAACATTGACTGCTAATTCAAGAGTTGAAGTGGAACTTTGTGGAGGGGGTTGTGGAGGATAAGGTTTCAAGGTGCTAACGTCTTGGTCATAACATTGTGACTTAGGAATTTTGACACCAGTAGACTGTGGTTCACCTTTGGGTGCACCATCATAGGAAAGAATACCTCTGACGTCGTAATTTAATGAAGAATTAGAATTGATTGTATCAGGATCACCAGGTTGATATGGTATGCTACATCTTGACATAGATGCTCTGATCCAATAATTGTTGACTGGCTGATTACAATCAATGATTACGGAATACCGTTCAGCAATATTAATCGGAAGAAAATCAACAGTATGCTTTTGGACGTTTGTTCCTTCACATTCAATTATTGTCATTGGATGATTATCAATAGATACGACGAAATGGGCCATAGCACTAGTATTTATTATTCTAAATCTGTATCTTTTGCCTTTCTGAACTTTATAGGTGGCATATCCGTTATCTTTACAAGGTAAGGTTGTATTACTACAACTATATCTACCTACACCACTAATTTCTCCAGAATCAGGAACAGGATCGTTGCCTTGATAACTGACTATAAAATATTTAAAAAAAAATTTTTTTTTTTTTAAAAAAAAAAAAAATATATATATATATATAAAATTAATATGATAAATATAAACAAAATATTTTACATACCATCACGGAAAATTGGCATGAAATTTCCAGTCGGATCATGATACCAATCACTCACAGTCATTACATATTCAAAATCATATGATGATAAATATGGATCTTCCGGATCATGGATAACAATTGGACCCTAATACGTAATAAATTGTGAATATTGTGGTAACTTTACTATAAAAAATCTCAATAACCAAATATTAATCATCAAAATTACCTTCAATCCGTCAACATATTGAGCAACGAAATGGGAGTGATACCAATACGTTCCATATTGATTAACAGTGAAAGTATAAGTGAAGGTTGTTCCGCTTATCTGTGGGCATTGGGTCATCCCAGGAACACCATCAAACCAATTAGTTTCGTTCATAAAGATTCCATGCATATGAACTTATTTGTTTAACATGTTGAACCGGGTAAGTTTAATTTAAAACTTAAATAAATAAATGTAATATAAATATTAAATCGTACTTACTTCCTGTTGGATCTTTAAATTCGTTAATCACTGTGACTTTTATCGTGTCACCTATGTTGGCTTGAATAATTGGACCAGGATACCTTTAAATTATTTAATTTAGTTCGAGGTGATGAAATTTCTTAACTAAGGTGAAAACTAATTCGTACAAAAATTGATTACTTGATAACTTACTGTCCATTAACAGTCCATACCTCACGCTCAACACCATCAGGAGCTAAGTTAGTCCTTTTACATATGAAGGTATAATCACGAGTAGTTGGACCATAATTGTCTAACGGTAAAAGGGGTTGGAAAATATCAAAGTTAGAGTTAGATGAATAGGGGGGTGGGCTAGGTTGATGTGGATCGGATTTGTTTGATGACGAGTGTTGTGTTGGTGATGCGCCTGAAGAACTTTTAGAAGGATTTTTGGAAGTATTTTGGTAAGGAGTATTTTTTGAAGGATTTTTGGAAGTATTTTGGTAGGGATTTTTGAAAGTATTTTTTGAAGGATTTTTGAAAGTATTTTGGTAGGGATTTTTGAAAGTATTTTTTGAATGATTTTTTGAAAGATTTTGTGAAGTATTTTTTGAATGATTTTTTGAAGGATTTTTTAAAGAATTTTGTGAAGGATTCTTTGAATGATCCTTCGAATTTTGATTATTGTGATTAAATTCCCGCGAGGAAGGTTGGTTAAATGACCAGGGTGACAAGGGAGTTGATGTGGTACATGTTAAAAGACCAAAGCATATTAAACCAAGGAGAGTATATATCGCCTTATACTTCATTTGACAAAAGAATGAATGTCAAAAGCTAAGGTAAAGAAAGTATATAAATTTGGCGGACACAAATAATAGCACTTTTTTAAAAAAACGGTAATAACACTTTATATAACTTGCATCCATATCCATATTTTTTTATTATATGAAACATATTTACTATTGGTTTAATATAAGCTTGTTATCCATATTGTTTTGATTTTATATGAGACATATTTACTATTGGTTTATCGAACGTGCTGTGCGGCAAAGTAATTGTACACAATTATTTAGAATAACTTATTGATTCGTTTCGATATTTTTAGCATTGCTAATGAATATATGCCGGTTGATATTGAACATTAAAGCTAATGTGTTCTTTGCATTGTGATACCAAAAAAATTGAATTTGGAAATAATTTAAATTATGCGTACGTACGTCGACGCAGTGTTGTACGTGGACAGCCTTTGGACAAGATTTTGGACATTTTGGATAAAAAAATTAAGTGAATTTACTCAAAAATTTATTAAGATAACCTATTCAAATTTTTTAAGCAAAAATGTTTAGAATTAAACTGAGAATATAATAATATAATTTTTATTTCTATTATTAAAATATTTAAGGCTATGGAAAGCTTGGACACTTTGGACACTTGGACGTTGGACATGTCCAAAAAAGCTTTGGACATGCCAAAACGTACAACACTGCGTCGACGTACATGGTTTTTGAAATACTATGAATGTTTATATTATTAACAAAAAAAAAAAAGGTTACATGTTCCATAACCATAATTATGTTTGAGATTCCCTTTTGTTTCAATTTAGTTACTTGAAATCTTTACGACAGCTTTGGAACCTTATTTAATATTTCTTAAATTTGATACATGTCATTTATTATGTTTTCTCCGGAAATATTAATTTCCCTTTTTGTTTCTTTTGTTACATTATTGGTCCAAGAAATCAGTGTTAAAAGCTAATCTTACTTAATCAATTACCTGGCAGCATTTATTATTGCAAAAATTATCTTAAAAACTTTCTCACAATAAAATCTGAAAGTTAAATATAGTAATCAACTAAAAATTTATCAATAAAAGAAATGCGATTCTATTCTTTAAAAGAATTTTTGATTTATAAAATAAGTTCGTTATTCTTCATGTATTAAATATAACCTTATGCATACGTACATGAATATGATGTATACATTATTATTGGCAAAATTTGGTAATTTGGCAAATGAACACGTGCCGCAAAGCGGCACGTGTACGTAGCAAATCCTTTGTAAAATTACCGTATTCACAATTTAGGATATACAAACTGGTATTATTGGTTCTTATAACAGGCCGGGTCAAAATTTGAAAATCTTTGAAGAAAAATTAAAAGCCGGGCCATTTTCTAAAATTTTATGTTATAATGATCATGATTGGTAGGGAGATGTCAGCTGAGTTTTAATTTGAATAAACATGATTACATCATAACACATGAAAAAAAATAACAAAGAAATAAATTTATGAGAGAAATTTAGGATGTAATTGTAAATTCTGGGTGCTTGCAGAATTGCCGAATCCGCAGTTAAATAGTGCATCTTATTATTATTGGTCAGTTTAAATTAATGATCAACTTTGTACAGATTTGAATTTGGCGTAAAAATTTTTTTATAATTCGCTAGTCTTTGTAGATAAAAACAAAATGAATAGCTTTTGGTTTTATTTCTGACTACCTCTGTTTAAGAAAGACAAGTAAACTAATTGAAGCAAGTAATGCACATTAATTAATCGTATAAGTGCTTCCAAGTTAAACCTGAAGAATTTAACTTTGGACTTAAACTCAGAGGAATTGAATACCAGTACGTATTACATAATAGAATGTTTGTATTTTTTATTTTGGTAACATTTTTGTAGTTACATTACATGGAACACTGATTATTTTGTATACGTAGTAACAGGTAGTTAAATTACGTTAAAATCATTAATTTTTCAGAGAATTAAGTCTGGTATAGCGTAATTTAAAATTTATACTTAAAAGATTTTAGTTTAGTGACACTTTACTTTTAATACTAAGTTGCTTATATCAGGGAATGACTTAATTTAGAAGATACTCTCAAAGTTTGAAATGGTACAAGATTTAAATAGATAGCAAGAGAAATAAAATACATTATAATGAGTGTTAGCGCGATAATAAGTATTAATGCTGTTTTTAATTACATTAATTAATTAATAATTCATCTTTATACTCATTCGACTAAATTAATGTGAATTAAAATGATTTGAATAATTAAACGTAAATAAGTATTTAAAGATAAGGCCATTTTAGTTGATTATTACGTTAACGTCATCTTAACTGCTTCTCTGAAAATTTAACAAGCCAATTACGACGCAGCATAAACTTCAGTAATCATTTGATTAATGTTGACTAATGAGATTTGATCAAATATTCTTGGAAATATGGGGTGTGATCTATTAAAACAGCCCATTTTTACAATTTTTCTGAAATTTTTTTATTTGATTTTGAATAGATATATATTCAATAAAATTAGTTTGTTTTAAGTTACCAAAGCCAACTATATAATAAAAAGTTTTACAAAATAAATTTTAAGTTAAAAATTTTATATGTATTACTATTTGTAAATTATTATTTAAAATTGATTTATTCAAAATTGTTTATATATAAGGTTTAGTGATCTTGGTATAGTAGTTAAATTGCCAGACCACTATGCAATAGATCTGAGGTTCAAATAATACTGTTAACAAATTTGAATAATTTCTTAGATCTTGTAACATATTATGAAAATCTTATTTGTTTTTGGAAGTATATCTCTATAAATTAAATTGTATTAAATCAATTTAAAATTAGAAGTATAATATAATATTACATAAAAAAATCTTGATAAGATATATGAGCAGAGAATTTGCATAGTAGAAATTCTAAGTTAGTGAAGTAGTATAATCTTTTTATAAGATTATATCAGTTAAAGTCTAAATTAGAAAGAAAACTTAATCTAATAAAGGTAGAAGGTTTCAAGATTATCAAACAGAAGTATAAAATAACTAGCTAGATATTAAAAAAAAATTAAATCAACTGACTAGTAGAAGACTATAATAAAATCTAAAGTTATATGAATATTACAAAAGTTTAAACTAAGTAAATCTGTAAAATAGATATAAAACTATTTTAGTAGAAATTACTTCTGAGGTTAATTAGAGCTTTGCATACTAAACAGATATATATTAGTTTTGATAAAAACTTAATCTATAGTTTAGATTATATCAAGATTCAGATTTAATATCTAAACCCAATATTATAAATCTAACAATCAACTTTAAGTTAGAAGACTAAAAGAAGATATAAAGAATTTGGTTTAAGTTTTAGAATTGTAAAGTAGATTTTTAAAATTAAGTCTAATTCTTTAATATAGATACTTAGCTCTTGTTTCTAATTGTAGTTCTTATACTTTAAAAATATTATATAGTATATAATCTGGTCTTTTTTATAATTAGTTAGTAGTTTTTAACTATAAGAATCTTTAAGTCAAAAATTTATCAATAAGATTATTTAAAAGGTAATTAATTATTATAATAATTTCTTTAAACTAATCTGTATTTAATTATTATAGAGTTAAATAATAATAATTTTTTAATAATGATAAATTTATAATACCAAACTTCTAATCAAATTTTGAAGTATTAGTTTAATACCAAACTTATTAGAGTTTTTATTCAAATTTTTAAGTTATTGTTTTTGAATTTTTCAATGTTATTTTTATTTAAAGATTAAAGTATTATTTTTATATTTTTAGTGAAATTAGTAGATATATTTGAAACTAGAGTTCTTACTTATATTAAAAATTTATAAATTAAATCAAATCTAACAAAAGTTTTTTTTAATCTAAGTTATAATTTAGATTAATAGAAACTGTATATCTGCTAGAACTTTTTAGGTTTTTACTTCAAAAAATTTTTCATAATTTATATTTTTTTTATTTTCTATATCAGTAAATTTCAGATCTATTATATATTTATCTAATCTATTTAATCTGAGTTAAGATTTATTTTGATCTAAGTTGGAGTCTAACTTGTAATCTATATAGGTTAAGTAATCTAAGTAATAACTTTATTTGAAACATATCTAGTATATATTCAATATATCAGATATACTAAATATATTATATATATCAAATATGCTATAAATATTTTATATATTAGATATACTATAAATACTATATATATTATATTATAAATATTGAATTAATCTTTTATAAGTTTTGAAATAAGACTACAATACAATTTAGTAACTCTTTCTAAAGATTATTTGTACTAAAACTTTTTGCAAATATTTAATTATTACTTGAAATTCTATTAAGTAAACTACTTTTAAGTATCTAAGTAAAGTTGTTTATAACAAAATTTTATTTCAAAACAGTCCAGTTTTATCTCTTTTAAACTTTTTTTCGCAGAGATATTAAATATTCTTTATTTCTTTAGTTTCTTCAAAATATCTAAAAAGTTTATTAAGTAAACAGTCTTTGGACTTTTAAATAAAGTTATTAAATATAAAATTTTATATCTAGTAGTCTAGTTTTATATCTCTCAAACCAAATTCTATAAAGATTTTATATATTTTCAGTTTACTTAGTTTTCTTTAAATATTTTAAATACAACAACTCTTACTTATTAAAAGAGTTAGATTCTACTAAGTCAGAGCTTTATTTTGATATAAATTTGATTAAAAACAGATTAAAACTCAGCAAATTATCTTTGAAAACCTGTTTAAAGGCTTTTTAAATTCTTGTAAATCACTTAAAATTTATCTATAACAATTTTAAAAATTTTACTAGCTTGCCTTAGATTTTTCACTATTTTTTTAACTTTAAAAGAATCTAGATCATAAGATTCTGCTCACAAGATTTGGAAATTTTATTTGTCTTTAAGAAATTCTATTTAACTTTACTTTAAATTCTATTTTTTATACTAATTTTAGTTTATTTTACTTGGTTTTTTTTGTAATTTTTTACTATAATACTATACTCTTCAATCT